CAATATATATATATATATATATTCCTACTGAATTGCTCTCAACCAATGTGTAGTGACCTGATCAGTCTTAGCTTGAAATCCACTTTATCTGAAATTAGCATAGCTATTTCTGCTGTTTTCTGTGTTCTCTTTGTATGGAATATTGTTTTCTATATTTTGATTTTTTAATCTGTTACTTTTTGAATTAAATGTGGCCCCCCCACCCCAGCTCCTCCTCTTCTTCCTCCTTCTTCTCCGTCTTGCTGCGTAGCTCAGGCTGGCCTTGAACTTACTGTGTAGTCCAGGTAGGGCTCAAACTCATGGTGATCTTCCTTGTTCAGCCTCCCAAGTGCTGGGATTACATACATGTGTTTAAATGTGTTTCTTATATATTTCATATTATGAGTTTTGTTTCTTGATCCATTCTGCTTGTGTCTTTTAATTAGGGAATTGAAAACATTCAAATTGGTAGTTATTAGTGAGCGAAACTAACTTGTGAGAGGCATTTACATTGATAGTTGTTATTGAGAGGTGTTAACTTTTAAGAGACACCAGGAGTCTCCTTGATATGCAATCTGGTAAGGCTTGTGCTTTTGTAATTACTTTTTTTTTTTTTTTGTAGAGTCCTAGAGATGGACTAGTGGAAGATGGCTAGGGGAGATGGCTCAGGGGAATAAGCGCTTCCCTGGCAAGAGAAAGGGCCTGAGTTTAATTCCCTGTTCCACCAAAATAAATAAATAAATAAATAAATAAATAAATAGGAAAACAAAAACCAAAAATATGTTGCTTAGAGAGTAACTTTTGGTTTCTTACAAATTAATTTTTCTGGGCATGATGGCACACAATTTTTTTCTTTTTATTTTTTTCCCATAATTTTATTATGGCACACAATTTTAATCCCAACTCTTGGGAGGATGAAGCAGGAGGATCACTGTGAGTTTCAGACTTGCCTAGTTTAGTGAGTTCAAAGCCAACCTGGACTATATAGTGAGACCATATGTCCAAAAAAGTTAAAATTAATTTTATTGGTACATTTTTAATATACACAATGATCACATTTATCATGGGGAATTTATTTATTTATTTATTTATTTAATTTTTGCAGAACCGGGGATTCAACTCAGGTCCTTGTGCTTGCCAGGGAAGGGCTTATTCTACTGAGCCATCTTCCCAGCCCCTATCATGGGGAATTTATACCTGTACTTAATATATCTTGAGGGCTGGTGAGATGGCTCAGTGGTCTAAAGCACCTACTTAGAACAAGCTAAGCTAAGCAAAAGCACAGCGACTGCGGTTCAATCCCCAGCACCACATGCCAGCCAGCCCCGCCCCCTGGTGGGCTGAGCTGGCCACACACACACACACACACACACACCAAAAAAAAAATAAATAAATAAATGATTAAAAAAATTAATATATCTCGAGTCCTCTCCCATCCTCTCCCCTCCCTTTGGCCCTTCTTCCCCTCCTTTGTTTCCATTTTTTCCTTCTCTTTTGTTCCTTTTTCTTTTCCCTCCCTCCCCCTTGACTTTTTTACTAAGGAAAAATTTAAGCATGTATGAAGATAAGACACAAGTGTGAGGGCACCCATGTCACCCTCCTTCATCAGCTTTGGCAACTGTGACCGTTGTTTAGTCAAGTACATTCATCCCAGAGAGGGAGGGCCAGTGATTTGAATCTGGAGCTCTGACATCTCCTGGTAGAGATGTCCAGGCACACACTCAGAAATGTCAGCTGGTTAGAACACTGGCATCAGGGAGCCGTCATTACTTCTCTTCAGGACTCTAGCTAGTCCTGTTTGCATTAGTATGATTTTTTTTTTTTTAAATTTAGGACGGGGTGTACAAGGTCTCACTGTGTAGATTGGACTCGTAGTGATCTTCCTGTTTATAGCCTTCCAAGTGCTGGGATTACAAGCGCACCCTGGGGGTGGGGCCGGCACAGCAGGCCAAGGGGTTGAACTCCCAGCCCGTGTGTCTAGTCTAAGCAGGTGCTTTAATCTACTGAGCTATTTGGCCAGCCCTGTGTTAGTAGGATTTTAGAATCCGTGTCTTAGTCACATTCCTCATGGCTGGGACAAACTGTCCAAAACCCATGACTTGTAGGAGAAATTTATTTTGCCTCAAGTTAAGATCATGGTCAGCTAGATCCAAGGCAGGAAGGCCTCTTGGAAGGCATGGAAGAGACTGCTAGACTCATGGTGGGCAGCAAGCAGAAAGTGGAGAGAGAGTCCTCCCAGGTCATGTCCCTGGTGACACATCTTTTGACTAGACCCCACCTCAAGGCCAGTCAACTGTAGTGCCCCTAAAATCTAATTGTGTTACCAAAAGTCCACTTATGAGTACATGAAGCTCTGGAGGACATCTAGACATAAACCAGAATAATCCCTTTGCATTATGTGTCTGTGGTAAGAGTTTATGAACTTCCTCAATGGTGGTTTGGGAAGCATCCTATATATTGAACAATAAGCTTTGCAAATGATAGGTTTTAATGGTGTCGCAGCAGAGAAACACGCAGAAGGAAAGGGGAAAGGGGTTTTATTATAAAGGAAAAGGGGCTTCATTATCTTAGAGGATACGGAGAGAATTTGGGAAGATAAGGAATTCTCTGGATTGGCACAAAGGGAGGCTGAGGCTTTTATGGCCTTTGCCAGGGGTGGGGCTTGAAGGGGAAGTTTAGATATACCTGAGGAGCTGATTGGGGCCTTCCCTGAGGTGGAGAGAAAGGTGAAAGGAAACTGCACCCTGGGCCAAGTTGGAGAAGAAGAGGGGAGGTGGTCTTTGGGAAGATGAGCTGTTGTTTTAAGGGCTTCAGCCGTATTAGATGACCACCATAATAATTTAGCAATTCTTACTAGGGCCATAACCTATCAGCAAATAATTGAGGGTTGAAGTCACAGCACTCTAAATGAGTGGCCCTTTTCTCTGCATATGTAGATATTTATGGATCTTTTTTCTGTAGGTGTTTGAAACTCAAGAATGTGAACGAATAAACTTCTTGCGGAATGCACTGTGGGTACATTTGAATCAGCTGTCACAACAGTGTGTCACAAGTGATGAGGTAAGTCAGCGGCATCTGCAGAGGATGTGGCTCTGCATGTTTGATTCGTGAGAGTGCAAAGAACTGTAGACTCCTACTAGTTCATCTCACGCCACTGTTTCCCTTTGAGATCCAGAGAGATAATGTGACTTGTTTAAGGCTGCCCAGTGACTTGACATAAGAACCCAAATACACATGAAATCTTCCTGACTTCTGATCTATTTTACTACCA